AGCTGCAAGCAAGAGATCTGATTGGTTCAACTGGCCTCCCACCTCCACTACAGTTTACATTGTGTCTGAGTTTTATAACGCACACCATGAGGCATGTCCTTAGGATTTCTAAGAAAGCACATGATCAAGAAATATAGAAAGCGTGCAACCGCTTGCAGTACTCACAACTGATTCAGCTGGTTTCTTTTTTATTTTGTAAAAATCACCGTGACATCACTTTCTTTGGGAATCTTTTCAGAGTTAAATGTTAAAGCATTGAATTATAGAAATCAGCAATTTCTGCTAAAACCTGTCATTCAAATACAAATTATTATCACATCATTTTCTAAATTGAGATTATGATTAGATTGCATTACCATTACTATAAAAAACGGTTCCAAACAAACAATTGACAAGCCTCCTTATCAATTCAATTCAATTCAAAACCTTTATTTATCCAGGTCAAATCCCATTGAGATCAATGATCTCTTTTTCAAGGGAGACCTGCAGCAGTAGGTTCCACAAGAAGACATAAAAACATAAACAACAAAAGGACATCATACAGCAAAATGTACAGGGATTACAATTTACATATCTAACCACATGTACAGGTACCAACAGCAACTGATTTTGTAGCATCCAACCGAGCTTTAAAGACATGTAGTGGTACTAGCTTGGTAATTTTCCATTATTTTTGTTAGTGGAGATGCACATCTAAAAGCTTTCTTCCCTAAGACAGTCCTAGCACTTGGCACATTTAATAAAACCACAGCATGCGATCTCAGGCAATAAGTACTTTCGATTCGACGAGAGATCAGGGAGCAGATATAAGATGGTAGTTTATCCAACATGGCTTTGTAAATGAAAAAGTACCAGTGACTGAGCCTCCGTACAGTAAGTGATGGCAAAACCGCCTTGGTATACAGGGTACAGTGATGCGTAAGTGCTTTACAATTTGTCTCAGTGCACTGTGATACGCAGCATCTAACTTGACCAGGCAATTGGCAGGTGCATTCATATATAACAAATCACCATAGTCCAGCACAGGTAAAAAGGTCACAGTGACTAGCCTTTTCCTGGCCTCAAGCGAGAAACAGGACTCATTTCTGAAAAAGAAACCTAGCCTAACCCTCAGCTTTTTAAGCAGGTTATTTACATGAAATGTAAAAGTGAGACAGTCATCAAGCCAGATACCCAGGTATTTGTAACAGGTAACCACTTCAAGTTGTATTCCTTGCGTAGTTACAATATCCAAAGCAGTCTCTGGTGTATTTTTAGCTTTAAAAGAGCATTACCTTGGTTTATCCACATTTAAAAGAAGCTTAAGCTCAGAGAGCTGAGTCTGAATAATGTTAAAAACAGCCTGTAATTTAACAACAGCCTCGTTAATCGAGGGACCTGCACAGTACATCACGGTATCGTCCGCATACAAATGTAAGGTTGCTCCTTCGACATTTTCACCTAAACTATTAATATAGATAGAGAATAATAGCGGACCTAAAACTGAACCTTGTGGTACACCATTAGTGATGTTTAACCACTCAGATGACAGCCCATCAAAGTGAACACATTGGGACCTTTCAGAGAGGTAGTTCACAAACCACCCCACTGCATGGCTGGATATGCCAATACTTTTGCAAAATGAACTCAATTATGCAGGCCATCTTGCATGGTATGTTGAAATCAAAAGTGATTCCTACATTTAACCAACCCTGTGGCGAGTAAACAAGGATCCCCAATAAGCTTCACATATGGTTTTCCAGGGTAACACCACTGACAAGGTTCAGTGCCTGAGACCAAAAACTTAAGCCGACACACACACACACACACACACACACACCTGCGATGCTTCCTTTCCTCATCCATTAATTGAAGGTGAGAAATAATTTCATTATCCTCTGGAAGAATAATCTGCTCTCTACTCCTGATCCCTTAATTTCCTACAGTGCACCTCGACCTGGGAGGCACGCATTCACACAAACAGGCCCCACATACTTATCACACCTGCATGCACGCGCACACACACACACCACACACACACACACACACACACACACACACACACACACCACACACACACACACACACACACACACACACACACACACATAGTTCCTATCACCCTGGGCTGTTAATGTCATTGGAGTTGGGGATTAACCATCAGATTCACATATGCTTTACAGAGCTTTATTACTTAAAGCTGTCTCTCACACACACATGTTCACACACTCACGCAAATGAACACACAGGCACATAACTTTGTATTAAAGAAAGTGAACGTGGGAGTATGGGCAGCAGCAGTGAGTTTACAGGACAGGAACAGGCCATGGTGTGAGGCACCTGTTAGGAATGTACATTATTGCACTGACAATTTTTTTTTTATGCCAGATTGCCTTGAATCATCTTGGTTCAACACTTACATAAACCCCATAGGAATGCTTAGACCACCTGAACAAAGAAAACATCCTTCTTTTGTATATAAGGAGAAATGCTTCATCCAAATTCCTCTTTGAGACCTTCCCCTTTAGCTTCAGGGATGGGGGCCACTCCAACAGCCAATTATATGCCACTCGTGACTTGTGCACATCATACAAAATCAACAGCAGAGTGAAAAGCATAGAAAATGCAGTGTGGGGGACCGTCCTTTTCCTGCTTGTGTTGCTGAGTGGCAGATCTCCCCCGGTTTAATGTTGCATTACCACCCTCTACTGTTCATCTGCCCAAGATGTGCCGGGTGGCCCCTGATGTCAAGTGTCATGGTGGAACATGTGTGGAAACAGGGGGGAGGGGCTAAACTGTCATTTCCCAGGGCAAAGGTGTGCGGTGGGACCCCCATTACATTTCATGTGAACACACAATCACAAGGGGAGGGGGCAAAGTTAAGGGGGGAAGGGGAGACATTTAGGATGGAGCTATAGACACTCGTACACCTATCCTGGAGGATTAAACAGATTGAGGTTGCTTTAGTGTCCATTCTCTGTCCTGCAGCTGAGCAGCTTTTAATGATTTGTTCCTGACTGCCGTGTGAATACTGGAATGCAATTACTGATTGTCATTCATCAGGGAAACACTGAGGCTTTGCTCTGTGCCTAACCCCAGTCAATCCAAATTCTACTTAAATTGAATAGAGTCAATAACCTATAAAACATTTTGAATAAGGGTAATATGTGGTGTTGTACTTTTGTACTTCAACTTGCTAATAATGAAGTGTTTTCAAATCCATCGCTCCTGTTTAAGAAACACTTTACAAAAACGACTATTCTGATCTCTTTCAGGAAATGACTTGGCCATTTACTGTATAAATGTAACCTTGCATTTTGACCCATTATGAATGATTTTTTCGATCGAAAAGGCTTAGGAGTTTATAGAGAGATAGACAATAAGTCATGGTTGAATATGTTCTCATAATATAGAATATATCCAGCCTTGTCCTTCAAAGACCTAATTTAAAAATAACACAAATCCAGATACTATTTGAAACCTCAACTTATATGTATGTATATATTGTGTTGTGCACATCAACAAACAACACATTTTGAGATATTTTCTACTATTTCTCTATATTTTATATAACGTGTCTGTTCTCACCGAAGTGGCAGATGACAGTATGAAGTTTTCTAGCTGTGTGACAAGCGCCTGGCTGAAGGGGAATAACAGATGAAATTTAAAACGTCACCTTATTTAAGCCTTACGTGTCTTGACACTCTCTATACACACTGTGTGTGTGTGTGTGTGTGTGTGTGTGTGTGTGTGTGTGTGTGTGTGTGTGTGTGTGTGTGTGTGTGTGTGTGTGTGTGTGTGTGTGTGTGTGTGTGTGTGTGTGTGTGTGTGTGTGTGTGTGTGTGTGTGTGTGTGTGTGTGGTGTGTGTGTGCGTGTGTGCGTGTGTGCGTGTGTGCGTGGTGTGCGTGTGTGCGCGCAGTCAGGCCAAGACGTAGAAAGCGTGTTTTTTTTTCTAATGGGGAAAAGGAATATTTGGACATTTTATCAATAGGCATTATTAAATCCTGCTTGCTTGAGCTAATCTTGGCGGACCGGAGCGAAGGGGAAAGAGAGAGAGCGAGAGAGATGGAGGGTGAGAGTGATAGACTCAGAGAGGGAGAGTGAGAGAGCAGTGATGTCTGCCCCATGAGGTGAAGAGAGACCGTCTGTAAGCCGCTTATTATATCGACTACCACCTTTTCTCCCTCCTCCTCCTCCTCCTCCTCCTCCCACCCTCCCGCCTTCCCAGTTTTCTCTCGTTACCTCGCTCATTTTCTATCTGTGTCTCCCTCGCTTGGCTTTCTCCAACTCATTCTCTATCCCTTCATTCTCTTTTCTCAACAACTCGTTCATATAAACACATGCATATGTACACACACAAACACACACAGACAGCGCCAACCTTCTTGTTCAAAGCCAGAAGCGAAAAAGCTGAAGTTTTATTCAAATGAATGTTTACTTCTTCTTCTGCCAACGTGTGTGTTTGTTTGTGTGAATGTGTGTTGAGAGACGAGGAAAATAGCAGCAAGTGTGTGTGCGTCAGTGTGTGTTACATGCACGGCAGGAGGAGAAGGGCTGACGGTAGGTGATAAGCCAGACAGGCCTGCACGCTGTGATTATCACCCACCGGACCCCCTGTCACACACACACACACACACACACACACACACACACACACACACACACACACACACACACACACACTTGCATACACAGTGCCCAATGAGAGAGTGTGTTGCAAGGATTTAGGATAGACAGACGCACAGACAGAGAAGCCTTGGATCACAGGCAAGGTGGAAACCACAAGAGAAGCAAATGAACACAGACTGGAAAACACAATGCATCCAATTATGTTTCACTGAACACTCATTGTTTTTATATCAATATTGAGGCGTTCTGATGTTGAGACACTGGAATCAAAGCGCTTTGTCACATTATTGACGCTGTAAATGCCTGCAAATAAAGATCTGTCGCTAAAATGGATAAACATCAGTTAGTAACTGAGTCTCTAACTCTCCGTTGGTCTCTTGTTTTCCTTTAGGTGTGTGGCCGTCTGAAGAGGTGATGGCTCATTACTGTCTGCAGAAACGCCACATGTTCAAGTGAGTAATTATTTTTCTGAAACCTTTCTTTCACCAAGAAAACAAGCTGTGTATTTAAGCACATCAGTAAAGCAGCATTGATGTTTTTGAAGTTGTAATAAAGTTTGGAAAGTCAGGGTCCATTGTTATTTCAATTCAGATAGTTATGACAATAAAATCATTTCCGCTCAAATAAAGAACTACTATTGCATTTTAAACAAATGATACAAATCAGTAAGAGGGCCGTATATTCTTCCTGCGCCAACATATTGAAAGCATTGCAGTTGTTGTGATGGCAGAAGGTGGAAAGGCTCCCCCTAATTTAAATGTGACTGGGCCCCGGTGTAAATGCTAGGTGTCATTCTGAGCCTCTCCATGCCTCGCTGTGTTGTCCTGCGTTGCTCTTTCCCCGGCTCTCGGCTGCTGAGCGCTGGCCTGCCCTGCGGCACGCGGCTGAAAAGCACCCAGGCACCTTTGATTTCCACTCAAGGTGGAACGTCACCCTTTGATTTCCTGTTTTAACATTCAAGAGGCGGGAGACGAGGAAGAGAGGGGTATTGATCAGAGCAACGTAGTGAAGGTCAGCAGGGGAGGGAGGAAGGCAGGGAGGGATGAAAGAGGACAGGGGGAGAGATGGAGGGGAAGGGGAGATGAAAGGAGGAATAGGATGGAGAGAGGGGTTGAATGAGCATGCAAGCTACAGGACTGTGTTGGTGTGTGTGTGTGTGTGTGTGTGTGTGTGTGTGTGTGTGTGTGTGTGTGTGTGTTTCCTCAGATTCCCGCTGGTTGAGCTTGTGCTTCTCAATGTTCAGTATTCAGCTTTCAGGTTGATGGTTGAATTGATATTTCTTACCCTGCTGTTTTTACTGTATGTGTATGTGTTGGCATGATACCATACGCGTGTGTGAGTGTGTGTATGTGCATCTACTGTACTGTATTTGTGAGCGTGTGTGTGTGTATGTGCATCTACTGTACTGTATTTGTGAGCATGTGTGTGTGTGTGTGAGCATGTGTGTGCGTGTGCTAAACTGCTAGGTGTGGATGTTTTGAGGTGAATCTCTCTTTACTCTCTCCCTATCTGTCTTTCAGGGGCGCAGTGTGTGAGTTAGGAGGAGGTATGACTTGCCTTGCTGGGCTCATGGTAAGACACACACACACACACACACACACACACACACACACACACACACACACACACACACACACACACACACACACACAGAGTTATACAAATATCTGGCTTGGCTTCCTTCATGAAATTGACCCTCTTCAGTCAATACAGAAACAGCATGGGCACACAGTATCCATACCTATTCATAAACATATCATTTACTTCTTGTGTGTGTTTTTGTACCTTCATAAGTGTATTTGTGCACTCTTTAGACACTCGAAATTAACAGAAGCCTGTATGTTTAATGTTCCTTCTTAACCACATTACACATGTTCCTTTATTAGCACTCTACTTGTTAACACCTAAAATGCTAGGTGTGTATATCCTTGATCCATTTGATCATATACAAAACAGATTCTCACAAAAACCCTGCATGGAGGTGCATTTTGAAGCATCTTTTCACACTACCTGTTATCTGTTTACCAACTTGTTTTTGTGATTGATGGCAAATTATTGTTAACATGCCATAAAAACGGGCAAAAAGCTCTTCAAACATTGCATCATTTACTCAGAAGGTTTATATTGTCAAAATAAAAATAATTAAAACAACCTTGTTTGGACATGAAGCCAGTTGTTCAGATTAACAGTATCATTTAAAAATGATTATAAGAAGTTTGGTTCATTATGTTTATCCACATGATCACACCTGTGTAGTGACTCCTGGCTGTACCAACTAGATTGGGTCTTAAAAGCTGTCCTGTATTGACTCAGCCCACGCACACTGACACTCAGATATACCGCAGTCTGTCAGCCATAGGGTTTATTAGCCAGGGTCTTAAGGGCCCCTCCACATAGCAGGCGTCAGTGTCCCATCGATCTGCTAGATGCCATTCTGTGAGTGTGTGAGTGTGTGAGTGTGAGAAAGCCTGTTTTTTATCTCCTGGCAGTCAATACACCATGTTTTGACATTGGTGGCTTGAGATGGAATCCTTCCTTCACACCTCTCCTTCTCCTCATCCGTCACTGACACCACACATTACTTATTATTATTAACAGCTTATTTATTCATTATTTATTTAGTTGTTGCATATTTCGCACCCTGCCTTTTTGTTTTTATTGACCTTTCTACCTCACCCTTGTGTTTCTGTTCTGTGCCATTTGCAGACCTTTGTTTTAATTCTTCTTTCCTTAATTAGACATTCCTCCATCATGCTTCTGGTAAACTGCACTCTAGGTTTCAGATCATATTTTAGTTATTCCCCATCTTCATGCCTTAGATGTAAAACAACCCATCACAGGAAGTATCCATGTATAGGACCTTTTCACATACATTTAGATTAAGATAGGACTTTCTGGCCTTAAGCCCAAAATCCAGAAATCCTTTATTCGTTATTTGAATATTCGCAGTGGGGAAACGTACAGTGTTACAACAGCAAAGTACAGTTAATAAAAATAACAACAAAGTACACATCCATGGTTAGAGAAATAAGTAGCAGCATTATAAAAAAGCAAGTGAACATATAAAGGAATTATAAAGTAGTGTTCTAATTGTTCAAGTACTTTTACTTATTGATTTATCAAATGTGTGCTGCTTTTTTTTAAAAATATTTAAATTTATTTTCAACAATTTTGAGGTTTTTTCTGTACTTTTGAGTAATTTATAACTTTACATACTTTAAGTACATTTTCATGATCATACTTAATAATAATTTTTTCTAAAGTACCATTGTCAATGCAGTTATTTTACTTTTAATTGTGTTTTTTTTTTGTTGTCAATTTGTTAAGTTAAGTACTCTCTCCACCTTTGGATAGAGTGTGTGTGTGTGTGTGTGTGTGTGTGTGTGTGTGTGTGTGTGTGTGTGTGTGTGTGTGTGTGTGTGTGTGTGTGTGTGTGTGTGTGTGTGTGTGTGTGGTGTGTGTGTGTGTGTGTGTGGTGTGTGTGTGTGTGTGTGTGTGTGTGTGTGTGTGTGTGTGTGTGTGTGTGTGTGTGTGTGTGTGTGTGTGTGTGTGTGTGTGTGTGTGTGTGTGTGTGTGTGTGTGTGTGTGTGTGTGACAGCGTCAGCGTCAGGCTCCTGATCTTTCAGCTGAATGCTCGGGTTCAGCCCTGAAGTCTCCTCCTCTATTTGAGCAGATGGTGGGACGCACAGCACTCAGTGACCCCCTCACACACCCTGCAGGGCCTTAACATGTGTGTGTGTGTTCATGTGTGTCAACGCATGCATGTGTGTGTTCTGTTTCATTTTAGACATTTTAATACACTTGGTTCATCATGTATGCCATTGAAGCAGCCATTTAGATGTGTGTGCATACCAACACAATAGCTACTTGCACTTACACCCTCCCATGCACACACACACTCCTTAACAGAAATTGACAGCCTGACACACACTTTCTGATATGAAAAAAAAGCATCTGCAAAGAAAGGGGAATGTGAAATGATGAGGTTATAGTAAAGCACACACCTCTCTATCTATATCTCCCTCACACGGCGCAGCACAAAGCTTTCCATCCATCCTACCGTCTCGCTGCCTCTCCCTCTCTTTCTCTTCGCCTCTCACACACTGCGCCGCAAAGTTATATGAAGGGCATCAGGCAGGCCCGGCGAGCCGAGTGCAGAGTGACAGCGGCGAACGGAGTGATGGCTCGGCCCGATAAACACCCAGCGTCAAATGAAAAGGCTCTGCGCTTGCCATCATCCCCTGTCACAATGCAATTACTGAACAGAGTGATAGCAAGATAGCAGCCCCCACCGCTAGCCACAATGATAAAAGTATTGACTGATTTGATTGAATGATTAAAATAATGCAGACATAAAAATGGGGTGAAGATAGAGAGGAAAATGGCAGGGAGGAGAGGGAGCAATAGAGAGAGGGTGGGGCGGGCCGCGCTGCCAGGAGTGAAGCTTTGTAGATATGGTTATGTCATTATTGTGTGTGTGTTCAGATGTTTGCTTCATCTAAGGGTGCTTTTGGTTTGGTTCTTTTGTTCTGTGTTGTTTCATTTCTCTGTGTTTCCTGTCTCTCAGGTTGCCATTTGTGCTGACGTGAAGGAAGTACTGCTATCAGATGGGAACGAGAAGTCCATTCAGAGTATCCTTTCATCATCCGCTCCCCCTCTTTCTTTTCTCTCTATCTGTGCCTCATTCCCTAAAGCTCACATTTATTTAGAAAAACGTCTTTTTTATTGAGCTTTCAATTAGATGTTGGGCATTCCTGTACACAAAAAACACACATGGATTCAAATATAGAGGCATGCAGTTTTATCTCGCTGTGGTAACATCAATTTCATATGTGATTTTGTAATGTTCAATCTTACATCTGATATCACATGTGTAACAATATAACATGATAAATTGATACAAACAACGTGGGGGGAAAAAACACAGATTCAGGCACATGTGGTTTTTGGACATCCCAAATAAATATAACTCAACCTACCTTATACATGTGCAGTGTAAGATTTGATGTGTTAAAAGTTGAATTCCAATTAGGTTTTTTCATTTTGTAAAATGCACGCCTTTGTCGCAAACTTCCTCCCTCGAGTTTCAACAAAAACGAAACATAATTACATCTGTGATGGTACGATTTCTTTCATGATTCTTGCAGACTCCATTAGTTGAGCTAGGTGTACCTAATGAATTGGAAACTGAGTGTGTATTTATACCAACAGCATAATTGCAACCCCTTAAGTCGTAATAGACGTGCTTAATCAGTCATTAATGATTGATCCAGTGTTTATTGTCTATCACGCCATTATTATTGCTATTCAATTCTGCTAATATTTGACTCCCTTCTAAACTTGATACGATGAATTTGTCTGTCTCTCTAAGACAGTATCATAAACAAAAAGTAGAGACAATGTCACGTAACCTTGGCGTTTCATCCTTGAATTTAGAGATGTGGTTGTGTTGAAAGAAGAATAGCCACCTCTTTTATTTTGTAGGCAAAAGCAGCAGATGGGGCACCCACGGTGACAAATACCCAGCACCAGCGCTCAATGTGGCATCTACCAATCCCAGCTGCCCACTATGCCATGTTAAGAGCACAGTAATTGCCATCCTGTCAGATTTTAGTTTGAGACTTCATCTAATGCTGAGGCTAGGGGAAGGGCTTGATGAGTGTTTTAGAAACAGGAACAAAGTTTGTTTAAAATGTTTTGTGTGGTTAAGGTTTAGGCCTATAATTAAGTTTTTAGGACAATCTTGAGGTGAGATTTTGGCCAACGTTTGTTTTTCGAGTGTGTTATTGATCAATTCTGTCAGCATGTTAACCATCTTGCTCTTCTTTTCTACCCAATGTTCACTTTGTTCGCCTCTTGTTTTCCCGTCTTATTTCATTATTCTTCTCCCTTTTCTTCTATACTCGTAGATCTTGCTTTATTCACTAAACAACTTAACAGATAAGAAAGAAAAAGCTCTGATTTGTTTCATTTTTTCATAAAAGGAGGAAATATAAATATACATATCTTCCCAATTGACCAACATGGCACTTCCATATTCAGCTCTGCTTTCAATATCTCTTTCTCTTCCGGCTAAAATGCTGCTTTACTGATCACAATAAGACCAAACAATAACATTATGGTGCTTATAAAACACATACACACTCGCATATACACACTTGGGCATGCAAACAATATACCATTGACCGAGTGCTTTGTTTCACAGAACAAACACACACAGAGAATTGTAAGTGAAATCATAGCGAGAATGGATCGAACACACACAGAAAGAGACGGTGAGCGTTGAGAAAGAAACAATAATTTGTTCTGGGCTCAGCCAAATGTTCCCATTCACACACACTGCAGACACTGTGTGGCGTTTCCTCTCGCTGAGGAAGCTGTTGGTCGGAGCCTTGTGTTAATGCCCACTGTTTGTCTCACATGGCCTTATTGTGCGGGCCAGTATTACAATAGAAAGAGATAGGGGGTCGTGATATGGCTCGGTTTTTATACAGGGAAATAGATGAGGAGATATGTGGGAATAGAAGTTGTGAATGGAACACATTTAGATATATCCAGTGAAAACATTGTTTTCCTTTAAGAGTTGTTGACCTCATTTATAGTGCACACACACACACACACACATACACACACACACACACACACACACACACACACACACACACACACACACACACACACACACACACACACACACACACACCATAGAGAGGCAATTTCTGTGACCTTGAATACTCATGTTGGAAATCAATTGAAATGTTCCATTAAGAATGATTGATGCATGTCATTGGCTGCAACTTTTCTACTTCAAGTGATGGGAGCAAATATTAATGTTCGATAATACTCAAATCTCTCTCTCTTTCACCTTTTCCTCTTTATTTCTTTGTGTGTGTGTGTGTGTGTGTGTGTGTGTGTGTGTGTGTGTGTGTGTGTGTGTGTGTGTGTGTGTGTGTGTGTGTGTGTGTGTGTGTGTGTGTGTGTGTGTGTGTGTGTGTGTGTGTGTGTGTGTGTGTGTGTGTGTGTGTGTGTGTGTGTGTGTGTGTGTGTGTGTGTGTGTGTGTGTGTGTGTGTGCGCGTGCGTGCGCACTGACCTCTTCTCAGTGGTGTGCTGGTGATGAGATTACAGTAAGCTGCTCTGCTCTTCGCCCTGTCATCCCTATGCATAATACACTGATGCACAGGTGTCCAGTGTGTGTTGTGCGTCAGGCTTGTATATATGTGCTAACCTACATATTATTGTGTATCTGTGTCTTGGAGGCCTCCTTGATTTGTGATCTGCTCTCCAGCTATCAATCCATCAACTTATCACGGTTTCCCGCCCTCTCTCTCTCTTCCTCTCTGTCTTTGTCGATTGGATTTGTCTCAGCTCTTTGCAGGCTTTAAAGACAAGGAAATCCTAATTGAATTGCTTTGCAACTCCACAAGCCAGTGTATTACTAGACAACTTGACATCAATCGCCCTGCCTTTGTGTGCGTTCATTTGCGCGTACGTGTTTGTGTGCGAGAGGGCCGGTGTGAGTTTGTGTGTCTGTGGTTAAAAGCTTTCCCATTGATCCAGCTCCAGGCTGCTGTGATCTCGCTCTCTATCCCTGAAGATCATCTCTGCTCACTCACGCTGTCTCTCTCTATGTCGGCGGCTACCATATGTGTTTTCACCCAAAGAGGGTCTTGATGTAGCTCTATGACTCACAGGACATTACAATAATCCTAAAGCAGATCTAATCTGATGGGAAAATCTGCAGTTTGAATCTCCTGATTAATAAATCACATGTCTTTCCCTCGATCTTAAGATCCCTTTTATATGTGGCATACATTTAGATATGCAACACACTTAATTCAACTAGAAAAACATGTATTAAACACACACTGCATGTGTAGAATTGTATGTTGTGTGACATGTTTCAAAAATATTTAAGTGGCTAAGCATTTTATCTTGAGCTTTATCTTTATCTTAAGCTTTAAAGGTGGGGTATGTAATTTTGGAGAAACCAGCTCGAGTGCGCTAGAATTTGAAAATACACAACCCGGAAAACATCTGCCCCTTCCTTCAGACATCCTTACAGAGTCCCTCCTCCAACACACACGAACGCGCACATGACCAATGAGGGCACGAGATAAGTTTGTGCACAGATGGAAGGCTGACAGGCAGGTAGGCCATCCAGGTACTTTAGCCGGGCCGGCTCAGATGATTGGTCGTGCTTTTTACAGCGCCACGGCTTCCACAGATTTGTTATGTATTTATTGTCAAAGCATTTAATTTATTCATTGCTATCGGGATGTTAAGAGCATTCCATGGAATATAACAAAAAGTGTTTCTGAAGTGAATTACCTACCCCACCTTTAAGGCAATCCCACTTAAGATGTATGTATGTGTTGATCATGGATCTAAACACACAGGAAATCCTCAAATGTACACATGGTGGCTTTGAATAGGATTCCACGAGAAGTCCTAATTTAGAGTATTCTAGACATTATCTACTGTAAACATAGTTGGCAGAGTGTACTGCATGCAAAAAGTACAAGAGGAGATCTTTGAAACATGTGTTTACTGCTGAGGATGAAATGTGTGTGTCTCTGTGATGAATCCTTGACCGTGGCATGTCAGATGTACGAAAGCTGGCCGAGAGAAACAGACAAACTGGAAAGTTTGGATCTACTCAGGTTTCTTCCAGGTGAGAATATTTGATCAGCTCTTTATATTTCTTAAAAAGTGACATTTAAAATATATAATGTGCAATGCCTTCGTCTGTGAGTATCTGTAAGTGATGGTTTTGGACCAACACATCTTCATAACATGGTATCATAGAATTTCCTCGCATTAATTCTTTGAACCCTTAACAGTAAAGCCAATCAAATCAAGTCAGTTTTGGGATTTTTCGACTTTCATGTCTCAAAATTAGAAAAATGTACAAAAAAGAGGTAAGAGATTTTATTATCTTCGTATCTTTCTTAAATGGTTTTGTTTCATCAAGTTCGATTAATAAACCTAATCATCACACTAACATCAGGTCTTTTATCTTTAAGGTTTTAAGGTGGATTTAAGTTTGGAAAATGAACAACAAAAGATCAACCCGTGTTAGCTACACACGGACTCATGCATGCAAACACTTACACCTCATATTTAAGGAAAGGCTGAACCGTATATAATTGTCGTCCCTGTCATAATGAAAATGCATTTTACCATTGACTGGCTGTTTCGCCTCCCTACCTCTTCCCTCTTACTCGCTCACTCCGTCTCTCCCTCCTGGGCATATATTTACATGAGTGGAAGATGGAGTGAAAAAGTAAACGTATAATTAGGCTACATTACTTTGATTGTTTTCTTTTCAGATTATGCCTGCTGTCATCGCCGCACCACAAGAGAGGGCGAAGGGCACGATGTGATTGGACAAGGGGAGGGAGGGGGAGGGACATTTTGCGTGATTGTGTGTGTACATGCATGCGAATGTCTGTGTGTGTTGGGACCCCCTGCCGTGAATTGAGATTGTGTTTCTAGCGGGGCCTAATGTTTTGTTTACTGAGTGTTAATAATGCCTAATTAATAATCCCCCTCTCTGCCTAACAGTCTGAGAGAGAGGGGGAACAAGAGATGGAGGAGAAAGCTTTGAACAGTGTGCAGTATCAGCACCCTTACACTGTCTGGAAGAGAGAAATTATAGCCAAAGAAAATCACAATGCCCCACTGGTGATCTTATACACAAAGTAAACTTCAATGTTATTTGGCACTGAACCGAAGATGACCAAGTGGCAGGTTTTCTGACCAGCGTGAGTGGTGAATAACTTAGAAGGACCTTCATGAAATACAGACAGGGAGACAACAATCTGACCATTGTCACTGGTGGACAAAGACAACCCAGACAAGACACACAGTGCAGTTCTACTGACGAACAACAAGTAGAGACAGAGCAACACTTCCTGCTCAAATAGCAAGAGATTGACTCACTCTCTACCAAAACGCCAAATCACAATTTAATGTTTAGTTGAGGGAAGAACTGACAACATAAAAGGGTCGGAGCTTAAAGAAATCCAACATAAGAACACATGAAACTGCGCCAAAACTGGCATCTATTTACATTTTATCGATTTTCTTTTATGTTTCTTATTATTCATGATTCACAATAGCTCATTCTATTATATCATTTACATGTTTTTTTATTTTGTTATTGCGTATACAGGATTGTACATATTTTTTAAAGTAATGTCAACCATTATTTTTGTAGTTTTTAAATTGCTAATCAATATATAATGAATACTTATACAGTTAATCCTGCATCGGTAATGACAGTAAGAAGAGGAAGAGAGAGGGCAGTGTGCGTGCTGAATAGCTAAATGAGTGTCCGTCTGTGTTTACATGATATAAATGTCAAGTGTCATGTCAGAAGCTGCCTCTCTTTACCTTTCAGATGACACGTATTCCCTCCCTGACACTTTCTCCAAGTCTCTACTGAAGCAGAAACTCAGTGGGTGTCAGGGAGAGCGGTGTCACGGTGTCGGGAAGACAGAAAAGAAGCGGTGGAAGAATAACTGCTGTCGCTCGCTGTGCAGTTTCACTATAACAGTTCCTTCTGTCTCCAGCTCTGCCAACACTCAACTTTGTTTCTGTGTTATGTGTGCCTACAGGGTGGTGAGGTGGGACTGCGAGTCAGACATTTCGGCACTAGAGGGTCACTTTGACATTGTCATGTGTGCAGACTGGTAGGTACACACACACACACAGACATTTATCCCAGTGTGTGCGCTCATGGCATTCATTTTCACTTTTGCATGACAGTTCTTGCATGGCCCCCCACCAGCGCCTGGACCTTTCCCTGCTTTGTTCACACACACACACACACACACACACACACACACACACACACACACACACACACACACACACACACACACACACACACACACACACACACACACACACTCACAACTCACTTACACACACACTCACAACTCACTTACACTCACACTCATACCCATATGCTCAGATGCCCGCCTGCCTCCATTTTACACCAAATTGCCTCGTTTTCATGCTTGGTGTCCCAGCAAATGGATGACTTAGGCAAATTGCAAATAATTGCGCCTTGACAAGGAAGGAGACACAGTAAGAGAAAGAAAGAGTCGAGGGCGGATGGAGGGAGGAGTAGAAATGGAGATGGAAATGGAGAGATAGAGCAACATAAACATAACAATTAGCCTATCGTTCATTGAAATGTAGATCTTGTGGCCAATTGAGAATAACGTCTTTATTATCGCTCAATTGTACCATGTGAGGCATGAATCTGGATATGTACTGTATTCCACATAACAGCATCCTTGGAAAAACATTAAGAAATGAAAGAATGATCTTTGAAAGCAAATCAGATTGTGCATTACTTCCCTGAAACATGATTCCCTACTTTTCTTTGTGTCAAATCGATGAAAAAGGATGGATTTAGCTACCTTGACTTGCAGACAGACACACACTGACAGTCAGTACACTCCTTCCGTTTGAGCAATATTAATACTTATTAATATGGTGAAAATGGTTGATTTGATGCCCAATTTGATATTCAGTTTATTAACCGTGCTTTGGGATAAGTCAATTGGTATCTTAATATATTTTATTATGGAAATCAAATATCCTTTTTTGACAAGTTTCTCCTTAACCATTACTTTTTGAGGGCAGGTATATAGTTCAGGTTACACTGCGGGAAAAACCGTAACATACAGTTTTTAACAGAACTTAATTTTCAGCATTTTTTAAGCAACCTTGCAGATTTTGTGTTTATTAAAGGGTCCCTGTTTTGCTCATTTTCAGGTTTATATTTGTATTTTGTGCTTCTCCTATGACATGTCTCCATGCTTTAATGTTCAAAAAGGTCTTTATTTTTCTCCTACTGCCTGTCTTTTCACCCTCTGTCTGAAACCAGAGCCCAGTCCGGAGAGAAACTCCCTCTGGAGGGAACCTTGGGATGTTAGTCTTGCAGAGCAATTACATGCACTAAAACATATATACTACACTACAGGGAAAGGGAAAACGCCCAAAAAGCATAATAGGGCCTGCTTAAAGAAATACTTCAGGTATGGTTCACACAGAACACAAATACAGATTTTCATTTAAGATGCTGATATCCAATGCGCCCATTAACCACCATGCACACTGACATAAGAAAATGCCTATAGAACACACACGCTGCAAAGATGGACATGCTGTTGGTTGACTCAAAAGTACTTCAGCTTCACAAACACCGAACAAATGTGGCTTGTGTACAGTATGTGTGTATCTATCTGCACAAGTGTGTGCACGTGTGCTAAGTGCAGCATTAGCAAACAGCGTTATCATTATTGTAATGTCACGGTCATTACAGGTAATAGTCAGGTACAGCACCCAGCGAGAGAAAGAGAGCCGGCAGCTAATAGAGGATATTTTACAGCGGACGAGTGTGTATTAACATGTGTGTGTGTGACAGATAAAAGCAGATAGTGTTAGAACAGAGTAAATTGTATGTGAATTTGTGATATCTCAGGGTTCTTAGATTTCACATTTTCTCAGCAGAGATGCATGCTTGTGCGGTGTGTGTGCTGCAAGATGTTTTTCTCTGTGGTGCCATTTCCCCCCCGTGTGTGTGAGTGAGTGACTGTGTGATAATTGCAGTGGTGGTGGTTGAAGAGTGATGGCTGACCGATTAACGGGCGCATCGTGGTGATGATCACCTGCGAAAAGGTCAACAACGCGGCTTCCACTCCGATTAATTATAGCTCCCACCGGTAGCAGCGGAACCACCGCTGAGAAGACAGGGGAGACGGAGAGAGGGGGGAGACGGAGAGGAGAGGAGTTTGGTGGAACATTGTGTATCAGCAGTCCATTATGTGCTTACTCCTTTGGATATCATGTGTATTTTTGAAGAGGAAGTATTA